GTTAGCCAGGATGGTCTTGATCTCCTGACCTCGTGATCTGCCCGCCTCAGCCTCCCAAAGTGCTGGGATTACAGGCGTGAGCCACTGCACCTGGCCATTCATTCATTTTTCACTCACCATCCTCATCCATCCATTCATCACCCATCCACCCTCTATCACTCATCATCCACCCCGTCAACCATTCACCATTCACCTGCCATGCATCCATATGCCCTACATCATGCACCATCAATGCTGCTGTCCATCAGCTGTCCCCTACTCACCATCCATTACACTCCACCACCATCCACAATCCACCCTCGTATACCATCCACATACCATGTTCCATCCAGTATCTTCCTTCTATCATCCAACCACCATCTGCAACCCATGGTAGGGGGGCACTACGTGAAGTGGACACCCAGTCACAATGGTGAGCGGACTAGGCTCAGCCCTAGCAGCACACAGGACAGAGAAAGGGGTGAATTCAAAGGTCGTTTATTCCCCCTCCCGGCAAGACACCCATTTTACCGGGTAGGTTAGTCCCGCCAAGCCCTTCTTCCTTGCCCTTCTTCCTGAGAACCTAAGGTGTTCAGGCCCTGGAGGGGCGGGTAAGGAGAGGCTGAGACGGTGCCTCCCAGGGGCCTGAAGAGTCGGCCCTGGGCGGGTCTGGAGGTAAATGTGTAACGGACCCCGGTGCCCCCACCCGACCTGCCTGGTCACGTGGGTCCAGTGGGGCAAAGTCTCCTGGTCGGGCGCAAGGAGCAGAGGCGAGATGGGCGCCCGGAGCAGAGGCGAGATGGGCGCCCTGGGCCGGGTCCTGCTGTGGCTGCAGCTCTGCGGTGAGCCGGGGCCACAATGGTGCGGGCCAGGGCCCAGGACGGCAGCGGGTCTGTCAGGACCCAGGGCCGAGGTGGCTCTAGATGTGGAGGGTGAAGATCTTCCGAGGAGTGGGCAGCGAGGGCTTTGGAGGGTGGGGGGCGTGAAACTCGAGCTGGCCTCCCTGGTCGGGCGAGTGCGCGGCCAGTGCATCTGGCGGCGCGGGAAAGGAGAGGAGGGGTCCGGGAGCCTCCGCCAGCCCCGGCCTCCGGTGGCTCCTGCCCTCGCGGTTTTTCCGTCTGCGAAATGGGCGCGGTCCCCAGAACCTGCCGAGAGCAGCGAGTGTGCGCCTGCGGGGCTGGGCAGACTGCCTCAGTTTCCCGGTCCGCAAGGGAGCACTGAGCCCTCCCCCGCCTTCACACCAGGCCGGCGCGTGTCCCTGGCGCCCCCTTCCCTAAACCCCTCGCGGCTCCCTCACGGCAACCCCACCCACCCCGTTCAGGGCCGGCCTGACCGGGTCCTGCCGCCCCCAGCCCGTTCGTTCCTCTCATACCGGGATGCGCTGTGTCGCAGCCCTTCCCGGCCCAGGTAGGACTTCTCCGGGAAGCCTTCCTGATTCCAAGGCCAAGGAAGAGGGCTGCGCTGCCCCGTCCTCCTCCATGCCCCGGTTGTCACTGTCCTTAACAGCCCTCTCCTCTGTTCCAGCGCCAGGCAAACTGGGGGCACTGCCGGGAGGCGATCTAGGCAGGCGTCCTGTAGGGCACGTTTGAGCGGGCTCTGCAGATACAGTAAAAGTCCGTCGGAGAGCGCTTGGGCAGGGCGCCCACAGTCTGGCCGGGAGGGCCCAGGGCCTGGGTCTGGGCCCCGGGGATGGGCTTCCTATGCGTCCCGGGTGACCCGCGCGGACCTGCTGCACCTCTATGGGTGGGTGGCCTTCCCTGAGGAGGGAGCATCCCGGCGAGAACGGCGGGTACTCGGTCGCCTCCTCCCCAGCACTGACCCATGCAGCCTCCAAACTCTGGGTCCCCAATACGGACTTCGACGTCGGAGCCAACTGGAGCCAGAACCGCACCCCATGCGCCGGCGGCGCCGTCGAGTTCCCGGCGGACAAGGTGCCTGGGAGCCCCGACCGGGTCGGTGATGGGCCTGGACCCCCGGGACCGCGTGGCCCAGGTTGGGGCTGCTCCCGGCTGGGCTGACGCAGCTTCTTCCTGCAGATGGTGTCAGTCCTGGTGCGAGAAGGTCATGCCGTCTCAGACATGGTAAGGCCGGGCTGTTGCTGCCACTGGGCTGGGGGTTCCCGGAGTCTCCCAAGTTCCTTCAGGGACTGCTGTGTCTGGAAGGCGGCCCCCACCAGCATGGAGGCGCTGCGGGACTCGGACTTTGGCCTCTGGAGAATAATCTAGGAGGCAGGGGATGGGGGAGAACCTAGGGGAGCGTGGTCCCATGGTCTCAGCCAGGCTGTGTCCTTGGAGGGGTGGGAGGCGCCCCGTCCCCACAGCCCTTCTGGTACCCAGCAGTGGGTGGTCTTCTCAGGAAGTGCCCGCTCCACGCCCTTCCCCCAAAGTCTTGCCCTGTCCTGGTGCCTAAAGCTCCACCTTTAGAACACTAGGGTCCCCAATACCCCCCCTCTACCCACCATCCGGGTCCCTGGCCTGTTAGGAAGCAGCCACCCAGCAAGAAGTGAGCCCACTCCTGCCTTCGTTCTACCACCCTTCAGATCAGATTCTCCCAGGGACCCCTATGTCACTGTGCCAGCGAGGGACCTGGGTGGTGTGCACTCCTTAAGTGCCTGATATCTGAGATGAGACAGCTTAATCCTGAAACCTTCCCCACCCATCGGTTCATGGAAGAACTGTCTTCCACAAAACTGGTCCCTGGTGCCAAAAAGGTTGGGGACTGCTGCCCTAGGGGACCTTTTTCTCAAACTGCGTCACACAACACTCCAAGAAAATGATGGGAACTGGGAGGAAAGCAGGTTCCATGAGCAGGTAAGTTTGGGAAACGCTGCAGCCTGCACTTGCGTGGAACTTTATCACATATTAAAGGCTCTGGTAAGGCCCCAGAGAAATAAGCAGATTTCCTTGTTTAAGGTGGAGTTCAGCGAGTTACAGGCCAAATGCAGCCCCTATGGCTGGAACAAGGAATGGTTTTTACACTTTGTAATCACTGGGGAAAAAAAGAACAATCTTTTGTGGCACTTGAAAAGTATATGACATTCACACCTCAGCAACAGTAAATACAGCTTCACTGGCACACAGCCCCCCCCACTCGGCTGAGTATCCTCGGTGGCCACTGTCCCATTGCAGCGACAGCCCGCCAGCTTCCAGGGTGACTGTGGGGCCCACAGGCCAAGTCTCTGGGCAAAAGCTTCCTTCCAGCCCCTTCACAGTCACTCCTGGGCTGCGTCCTCATCCTGTCACCTGCACATCTGCCAGCTCAGTCACTCTTGGGTGAGGGTCACTGGTGAGCTGGGTCAGGGTGTCGGCTCCGGATGTGGGGTCCAGGCCTGGGGGCCCCTGCGTGTGCAGGTGGGGGGGATGGCTCAATGGCCTCGGCCTGGCCCACTCCTGCCCCACGCAGCGTCAGGGATCCCGGGCCTCATTTCCACCCCAGGGCTGCTTGATTTATTCCTTCAGGTTTTCCAAAGCTACCTTAACCCAAAAGCCGCCAGGCACTGGGCAGGGCACCCACAGCAAGATGATGACGTTCCTGCCCGGGAGATGGGAGGAAGGCTGGGAGAGGGAGGCAGTTGCCCCTCATGGCCCCGCCCCCGGAGCCCACGCATAACCTTGGCAACCAGGCAGCCTGAGGGAGGGGGGCACTGGGAGCTGATGGGGGATCTGTGGGCAGAGGAGTCAGGCTGGGGTGGAGGTTCCAGGGCATGGATTTCCCCCTACTCCCCTCCCCTGCCAGCCTCCTTACTTTCATGATCTCATTGGAAGCACTTGGGCTCTGAAAGGAGGCAACACTCCATTCCTTCATTCATCTATTCAATTATTCATTCATTGATCATCCATTGGCTGGTGGGAACAGTGCAGGGGCAGGGGACAGTGGCCCTGGGGTCCCAGCCTGCAGAGGCCGAATTCACCCAGAGCTGCCTGAGCACCCCCATCCCCTCCACACCCCTGGCTCCCAGTGTCGTCCATCTGCCTAGATAGTGCCCGAGTAACAGGCCGTGCATATGAGTGCTTTACTTTGTAATTCTCTGGGTGGGAGCGTCCCTCCCTGCGATTTTCCTTTTCCTTGCCCTTCCTTCCATTTCTACCCTTTGCCTGCTTTCTTGTTGGGGAAGTCTCCTGTCTTCCACCCATCCCCCTGCCTGGGCTGGAGGCTTTGCAAGTCTGCTCACTGTGGACTTGCCTGCAGTGTCCTGTGTGGAACAGAAACCCTCATTTTAATCGACCTAATGCAAAACCCCTTACCTTAGAACTGTGTTTTTTGTGTTTCGTTTGAGAATCCCATGTGCTCCTCAGTCACAATGGTAATCGACTGCGTACCTATGGGGCATGTGCACCAGCAAGGGGTCCTGCTCTGTTTCTCTCCTTAGAGTGAGCCCAGCTGCCAACGTCCTCCGCCTTGCCCTTTTCTTCCAGTATTGCTGGAATCCAGCGTGTGCCTGGGCATTGTGGGTCTCTCTGAGCCCTGTCTTCAAGTCCACAGGCCGCTTTGCCGACCCTACACTATCCACACTGTGGCTCTGCGGGATGGCTTAATATCCATCCCCTTCACTCCTGCTCCAAGGTTCTTTGTGGATCTCATTGTTGCAGATAAATTGTAGAATAGGTTTGCCAGGTACCAACTACCACCACCACCACCACAAAAAAACAAACAAACAAACAAACAAAAAAACCCTGGATTTTTTTTTTTTTTTTTTAGATGGAGTCTTGCTCTGTCGCCCAGGCTGGAGTGCAGTGAGTGGCATGATCTCTGCTCACTGCAACCTCTGCCTCCCGGGTTCAAGTGATTCTCCTGCCTCAGCCTCCCAAGTAGCTGAGACTATAGGAATTTTGATTGGGATAAATAACAGCCTTATGCTGTCAAGCCATCCATTCAAGAGCATGGATGACCTCTCCAAATATTTCAGGTCATCCATGTACTCATTAGCATCTTAAAGTGTTGCCTGTAGAGGTCTTGTATTGTACTGGTTAATTCATCAATACTTTGTTAAGTTTGGTTTTTTGAGACAGGGTCTCACTCTGTTGCCCAGGCTGGAGTGCAGTGGCAGGATCACGGCTCACTGCAGCCTTGACCTCCCTGGGCTCAAACAATCCTCTCACCTCAGCCTCCTGAGTAGCTGGGACTACAGGCTTGTGCCATCACGCCCGGCTAATTTTTGTAGTTTTTGTAGAGATGGGGTCTCACTATGTTGGCCAGGCTGGTCTTAAACTCCTGGGCTCGAGTGATATGCCCTCTTTGGCCTTCCAAAGTGTTGGGATTACAGACATGAGCCACGGCTCCTGGCCTTAAGTTTGTTTCTATTATGAATGTTGCCCTATATTTAAAAATTATATCCTCTTTTTATTTGTAAAATTTTTGTAGAGACAGAGTTGCACTATGTTCCTCACCAGGCTGATCTCAAACTCCTGGCCTTACCTACTGTGCTTGTCTGTTCAACTATTAGGATTTTTACGTTTATATTTTTCCCCTTCGTTCTTTAAGAAAAGGTGTTCTTGGTATGCTTCCTCCTGGGAACCCCTCCCTGTTCCTGAGGCGCTTTGTGCTGTGACACATTCCTGTGCCTATGGCTCCGCCTCTACATCTGTGGGTGGACTTGCCCGCCCTGCTGGCAGAGCCGCACCCTCAGGTGTGCACGGAACTGAAGTGTGACCTCACGCCACTGGGGGTGTTGGCCTCTTGCTCAGGTGCAGTGCCCCTGGAAGGGCCAAAGAGTGGGCCCTGCCCTGGGTGGGCATGCCCTGTTGTGCTGAGCCCCTCATAACCTGGCACCAAGGGTTGCCCTGGCCCAGCGCTCATCCTCAGCCCCTGAGAGAGAAGCGCAGAAGCAAGAAGGCAGGAAGCCGAGGTCCTGGCACTTGGAGGAGACGGGGAGGGAGGGGCGGCCGGTCAGACCCCCATATTTCTGCTGACACCCGAGGCCTGGGCTGTGGCCCCACTTCTGTGGTGAGGGAGCTGCATGGCCCACACCAGGCCTAAGAAACAGCAGGGGCAACTCCACTGCCCGGCTACACTCCCTGCCTCCTCCTGCACCCCTGGCCCCCAGATGCAGCCTCTCCCTCCCTCCCCTCCTTCCCTCCCTCCCTCCCTCACACACCAGACTCCCCGGGGCTGGGCAACGTTTGAACCTGGGAGCCCTGGGCCTGTGCACCTTCTCAGGGGGCTATGGGGGAGGCGACAGGCCTTGGCCAGAGTCACCTCTGCCCCAGACTCCCCACGGCTCCGTCTCGCTCCCGGGCTGGGGCTCTGCCCCTGGCCTGAGACCTCTAGCTCAGGTACAGGACACTGGGCTGTGCCCGCCTCGGGGACTTGCACACGCGGCCCCATCTTTCCCAGGCCAGATCCTCCTCCTCTGGCAGCCTCAGCCAGGCCGAAGATCCCGGGCCTGAGCTCGCCCGGGCCCCTTCCGTGGACAGGGGCTAGCTTCTCGTCCCAGGGGACTGGGGGCGGGGTGGGTGCGGAGCAGGCCCGGACCCCCGCATGGCACCGCCTTAGCCAGTGCCTTTTGCAGCTCCTGCCGCTGGATGGGGAACTCGTCTTGGCTTCAGGAGCCGGATTCGGCGTCTCAGACGTGGGCTCGCACCCGGACTGCGGCGCAGGTGAGGCAGTCGGGCAGGGGCGGGGCTCTGGAAGGGCGTGTTCAGGGGAGGAAACTGGGAGAGGGCGTATCCAGGGCGGGGACTGGAGGGAAGGCGCGTCCGGGGGCGGGGACTGGAGGGAAGGCGCGTCCGGGGCGGGGACTGGGGGAAGGCGCA